TGTGTGTTTGTTTGTTCTTTTTCTGCAGGGATTATTTCCTTTCCTGACGGAGGGCCGGATGTCAGCCTCTGTTTTGCTGCTTGCTTTTTGGCTGCCATTGAAACGGGAGAGGGGTGACATGGTATTTGNTTTTTTTTTATGTCTAAGGATTCACATTCCTTCAGTGATATTTAGAAGGCTACTATTGAAGAAGTGTGAACATACATAAAGCTCCGGTATGCCTGTACCAGGGCGTACCGCCTGCAACCCACCACTGCTACCAAGCTACTACTAGTTTGGCTGAACCGGTAGGAACCCACTCCTGGAATGCAGTCAAAGCCTTTTCTTTTTTAAATGACCAAATTGGAACAGACCCGACACTGAATCAACTTTGAGCTCTCTCAGGATCAAACTCCAGAATGTGAACAGAGTTGTGAACAGAATGTGAACAGAGTTAGCCTGCTCTAACTCTCTAACGAAATTTGCTACTAATTTCTACTAATGTTTATAGAATTAAAAAAAAAACTCCCTTACTCTAATTTTCTAAAAATTGATACTTTTATATTATTAATACTGTAACTATTATTTGATTGTCAGTGTGTTGTAACTTTATAAGGCATATTTATGGCAATTTAGCCTACATATTTTAATGCTCATTCTACAGCAACAAATGGATCTTCCACAACCCAACTGTTGTGAAATTTATTTATACTTTCTATTCTGTACTAGAAATTGATTTGTTCAAATACATTGCCATTCCTGATCTAGACTTTGTTCAGACAGCAAAACTGAATCTGAATACAAAGGAAAGAATGTCAATAAAAAATTTATGTATCCCAAATTCAGGCTTCTAAGTTTCCATCAGTTTGACATTATTCCTTTAACTATAGCACAGCTGCTTTGCCAAGCCATTTCTCTCCTACCTTCAGTCTGTGACAGGATAAATGACTTCAGCAATACTTGAAAGTGCTGGTACTTCTGATAAGAATTTATGAGTTCTGGCAGCTGGGGATGACCTGTTCAACTCTATTGATCTAAATAAGGAAAGTGGAAAGTGAAAGTCCCAACAATTGCTGATTCTCAGGTCCCCTCCCCAGAATTTTAAGCATGTCTCAAATTCAGCTACATTCCAGTAGGCAGTACTATTGATGATATAGAACTAATTTTTCTCCCACCTCCTCATGTAACTTTTAGTAGTAGGTGCTAATGGTGCTAAAAGCACAGTGGCAGGATGCTCTCAGAGGAAGGAGGGGTATCCCAAATTCAGGAGCAAAATCTGAGCCTGGCCAGCATATCTGTTGTAAAAGATATCATTTTCTGATTGTTGTGATAATTACAGCAATTAAATGTTCAAGAAAAACGAGACTGTGAAGGCTTTAATACTGGAACACAGTACAGTTTGAATAACAAATCCAGAGCAAATTCTAGCCTCCTAATGGCTGCTACTTTTTAGGCCAAATTTCTCCCTTTGTAAAACAGCCCATGTCTTTTCATTAGCTTGTTTCCACCAGATTTACATCAAAATATAGTACAGGGAAATAATACAAGGAAGTTGGGAAAAGTATTTTAAAATGTACTGAAGCCTGCATGATAATGTACTAAACCAAAGCCCTCTACTATGGGGCACAGGGGTGGGTTCCTGCCAGTTCTAACCGGTTCGGTAGAAGAGGTTCGTCAAATCTACCATACCGGTTAGAAGAGGTTCCACCGGTGGACCAGGAAGTAAGTCCCAAAACGCCTCCTCCAGCCCTGTCGCTCGCTCACCCCGCCTATTCCATTGCAGCTTGCTCGCTCCCCCACCTGTCCACACTAAACTAGCCCATCCTGCCACTCACTGATTGGCTGAAGTCCAGCCAATCAGTGAGCAGACTGGAGTTGACCTGCCCACCTCTAACACCCATTTAAAAGTGCAGTGCCAACAGCCAACATTCCTCTTTTGAAAAGAGTCTTTCTCGTTCCCGAGCAGCTGTCGCATTGCACTTGCTGAGCAGCTCCTCCCTTCACTTTGATTCACTTCGTTTCACCTTCCAGCAGCTTGCTGCTTCCCTCAAGTAAGCAACTAAGCATGAGGGGTGGTGGTGGTGGTGGCAGGAGGCTACTGTATGCCAGCTTGTGGCTTTTGTGAGAGAAGGCCTTCCAGACTTCCCTCGCGAAAGCTGTGAGCTGGCATATGCTGCGTGGCCGAAAGGGGCATGGTGGCAGGAAGCTAGCATATGCCAGCCCGCAGCTTTCACGTGGGAAGGCCTTCCCTCGCAAAAGCTGTGGGCTGGCATATGTCACGTGGCCGAAAGGGGGTGGGTGGCGGCAGGAGGCTAGCGTATGTCAGCCTGAAGGACTTCCCTCGCAAAAGCTGCGAGCTGGCATACGCCGCGTGGCCAAAAGGGGAGCAGCAGTGGGAAGCTAGCATATGCCAGCCCATGGCCAAAAGGGGGTGGGTGGCGGCAGGAGGCTAGCGTATGTCAGCCTGAAGGACTTCCCTCGCAAAAGCTGCGAGCTGGCATACGCCGCGTGGCCAAAAGGGGAGCAGCAGTGGGAAGCTAGCATATGCCAGCCCATGGCCAAAAGGGGGTGGGTGGCGGTGGGAGGCTAGCGTATGTCAGCCTGAAGGACTTCCCTCGCAAAAGCTGCGAGCTGGCATACGCCGCGTGGCCAAAAGGGGAGCAGCAGTGGGAAGCTAGC